CCAACCCAACCCTTCCAACCCCAACCAGTCGGGATTTCTATGAAAGAACAGCCCCAGCAGAAAGGACAGACCCTACAGTGCTTCTCCTGCTTGGAAGAGGTGCTGGGAAAGGAGGGAGTGCAGAGAGGTCCCTGCACTCTGACACATGGCCGAGGTTTCTGCAGGTCCAGGTGTGTTAATGTGAGGTCTGCACAGAGCTGTGCTTGTTCTCAGCTTCAAAATGTGCAGGGAGGGCTTGAAGGGAACAACCCAGCAGAGCTGTGGCTCTTGGTAAGACAGAAAACCAGAGCTGTTCCCTGTTATTTCTGGAGTTCTTTCCCTGAAAGATCCTGAAGCACCTGGTGAGTGTTTGGGGCTGGGTATGTTTGAAATTCCCTCTACCAATGGGGAACCAAAGACACTGCAAGGATTTCCCTGGGAACACAGCCCCAGAAAACGCTAAAAACAAACAAAAATCCCACTCACACATGCCCCTCCACCTTTTGGACTGGTCTAACAAGTTTTCCGGTGACTATTTTGTTGGAATGTCCCTTTTCTGCCTTCACTCACCACAGACTGTCACCTTTAATTTGGGTTTGATTCATCAGGGCCATGCAGACGAGGCGATGAATGAGAAAGATTTCACTGGGAAGGAGATGGGCACAGCCCAGCACCACAAATGAACCCTGAGCCAGCCCAGGTGAAAGTCAGGTGTTGCAAACCAACCACTTCCACCCAGCTGTGGTCAATGCCTTCCAAAGGACAGATTCTATTTAGCCAAGACAGCAATTGCCTGCCCAGCAATTGCTTCTCAGTCCCTGAGGGTCCAAACAAGCTGCATCTCTGGGAACAGGGACCCAGTGTCCTTCTCATCACCACAGCTGACCCAGCTCTCTCTTCCTGAAGAAAATGAGCAACAAGATGTTTTGGAGATCCCTAAACAGGATCTTTGCATCCTCACCCCTCGGTTTCCCAAATGGCTAAGCAGGGATAACTCATCAGGAGTTTATCAGCCAGCTCTCAGCCCCTGGCTGGTGACAGGCAAGTGTCAGATCTCCCTCTGAATCTCAGCAGCAATTCTTGCTATTGTCACTATCAATGAATTGACAGCACAGCCTCAAGTCATGACATTTGAGCTACTGATTCTCACCAAGATTTCGTACATCTTCCCAGTACAGAGGTGGAAGTGATGCTGTTTTTTGCAGGCTCTGAAAAGAACCAGCCATGTTAACACCTCATGCACCTTCTCAGAGGAAACCTCAGTGAGAGACCCAGGGATGTTTAAAAGATGCTGTGAAACTTTAGGGAGGTCCTGCTGAAGTTTCAGGAATGTTTACCAGGAGTTTCCCTGATAAGCAGGGACTGCTGCCCTGACACAGCCCAGGAGCTGCAGCACCTGTGAGCTCTGATACCCTGCTCCCCTCTCCCTCCAGGAAAGCCTCCAGCTCCAGGCCTGGGAATTGTTTGACATTTCCTGACATATTTACAACATTGGCCAATTTATCAGCTCCTGCAGGAGGTGGTTTTATGGAACAGGAGGATGGGCTAGGCAAAATCCTCCAGGATTTACAGTTCAGATGTACTGAGGGTTATCCAAATGCATCTCCAAGTCCTCCCTCCTCTGTATCTCACGAAGTACATGGAGCAGTCCCTGATATGTTCCTAGCAGAGGATCCTGCCTGCTGGGTTTTCCTCCTCCCTCCCATGGACAATGCCCAGTGAACTCACGTGTTCCAGGAAGCAGGGCCCAATCTCACTGAGATGGGGGTCCTCGTTGTTGTACTGCTTCTCCAGGTCCCGCACAAATCCCATCTGAAATCTGTAGATGTCTTCGATGTTCCCAAAGATGATTTTCAGCTGCTCATCACTGAACATGTCCCTCCTCTTCCGGCACTGCTTTAGGTAACCCTGTGGGAGTGAGAAAGAAGGATTTGCAGAGAGCAGCAAAATCCAGGGGACAGCCCAAGGAGGTGAGTTCAGTGCTGGGTGCCTGGTCCTGCCAACCCCACTGCCTCCAACACCTCACACCCAGCTCTCCTACAAACACTGTCCTTCCACTGGCACAGCTTCCACAGAAAGCTCTGAGGGGCTGTTTGAGCCTGCTCTGATTTCTCCTTTCAGCCCAGTAATCAGGACAAGGAAGCTGTTTCATAGCATCATCAAGTTCTGTTCAAGATCTTCATCAACAACCCCGGATGAGGGGATCGAGGGCACCCCCAACAAGTTTGCAGCTGATGTGCTGCAGGGTGGGAAGGTTCTGAACAAATCCCCTCATCCTCCCACACTTCACCTGTCAGGATGATCAGCACTAAATCACAGAATTGTTAATGTTGGAAAAGATCTTTAAGATCATCAGGTTCAAGCAGAATGATTTCGATAGAAACTTTGCAAGGCCAAATCTCAGATGTTGCAACTGGCCTGGTTCATTCTGCAGCATCCTGACTGGAAAGAAACAACACAGGGGTCATCAGGAGATGACTTTGCTTACTTTGCTTGCCTTTATTAGATAGGAAGGGGAAAAAAATGAAGGGAAGAAAACGCCAGCAGCTCCAGTGGAATGGCTAAATTTGGGAACTCGGGATGCTTAGTCACACAGCCACGCTGCCAGCTGGTGACATGCAGCTGCTGGGCCACAATGAACATTGGAACCCTGCAATGAACTGTCCTTCAGCCTCACCATGTGGTTCCTGGCAGGGAGAACTTCAAACATGAATGAGAAATGCAACTCTGGCCGACCTGGCCCAGACCCAACCTCTGCCATGTCCAGCTGAGCTCGGAGGATGTCGTCACCCTGAATTTCCCGGCTTTTTCAGCTGGGAAGTTTGGGTTATGGAACACCTTCTACACTTCCTAATCTAGGTCTCTCTTCCCCCAGGAGCTCCTTGATGACTCATTTCCCCGGGTTTCCCTCTCTGATTTGCCAAGGCCGTGAGGAATGGGAGCAGGCTGCTTCCCACGCTGTGGGATGGTCACAGGGCAACCCAAAATCCAAACAGGGGAGAAAGGACACAGAACATCTCTCCATGCAGACTGTCCTGCTGATCTCAGAACAGCCTGGGGAAAAAGCCAGGAGAAAGCCAGGAGAAAGCCCTCCCAGTGCCCATGGGGCAGTGTCCCCTCACCCTCTCCGTGCCCTCCCTCCCTTCCCGAACACGGGAGCACCTCCCAGCCCTGGGGTTGCCATTGGCTGCGATTCCCATCCTCACTATTCCCACCCTCCCTGTGCTGCTTCATCATTTCTCTGGAATCACGTGTCTGGAGGAGCTGAGGCAGCACATTTCAGTGCAGGCACCTCTGAAAGCACAGGGAGAATAAAGGAATGCGAGGAGCTCCCGAGCCTCATCCTCTGTGCGTTTGAAGGTGGTTTCCAGCACAAGCCAGGAAAAGGAGACTGAAGATTCATCCACAACACGCAGCAGAGGAGGCTGCTGCAGAGCTTTTCCAGTAAATTTACTTCTGTTATATAAAACAATGTCATCTTCCTTCTGCTCATGCCATCAGGTTTGCTCAGAGAAGGGATAGCTGACTGATGAGCAGATGTTGGAGAGTGTTTTGCTCAATGAATACCTAAAAATAGCTGCCAGACTGTCTCCAAAGTACTTTTCCATGTAGTCCCTGAAGTACAGGCCAAAGTTGGGCAGGATTTGCAGGAGGTTAAGTGCTGAGTTTTCTTCACCCCACTGTGGGTTTAGAGACACCCAGGAGAGGTGGGCAGTCCATCAGTTCCATCCATGGATCCATCCATGGATCCATCCA